TACGCGAATACATGTGAAATGCGATAACAGCGTTAAGTGCGTGCATGGCTTAAGTAGATACGGCCGTAGCCGAAATTAAGCGAATTTGACGGTACCTATTTCCTCTTCATTTGCTAAAACAAATCGTACGTAAACTGGCAGGAGAGACAGCGTCGGGAGCACTTAGCTGATGAACGCGTAACGTATACTTGCACTACGTGCACGCAAGTCTCGCGTGTCCGTCGCGCGCGATGCGCACGCTTGTTTTCCGCGTGTCGAACTGAATTTGAATAAACACACCGGGAACCCCCGCATATTTATCGGCGCCCAATCGGTGTCTTTTGTCTCACGTGCGTGTCGGCTGACCGTTCTTTTGAAACACGTGTAATCTCATGCCACCCCGTCCCTGTGCGGAGAGTAAATCGCGCGCGAATGCACGCCTAGACGTCTCAACTATAATTAAGTACAAGCGATAATTTTAGACTGTAGAAAACTCGTCGTTTAACCAAGAAATAATAATTGACGAAAGCTGGCTCCAAAATAATACAATTAACCTTTTAAAATTGCACGTAATTGTAATTTAATTTTTCGTACATGGAATATTCTTTTATTGACGCACCTATATTAAAAAAAAAAAAGAGTTTCGTAATAGCTACCAAATATTGAGTGAAATAATTTCAACTAAATGTTCGCTTAATATAGTCAGAAATGATTTTATATTTTTCTAAATATTTGACAAATATTATAACCAACCATTTGGTTATAATTGTTAAATATTAAAAAAAATAAAATTATTTTTGGTTGAATTAACCAAGCATTTAATTAAAATTATTTCATTCGATATTTAGTAGGTACTTTTTCCAACGCATAGCAAAGTTGAACGATGTGAATTCATTTCAATCGCAAATTTATTTCTATCTACGTAATCTATGAATGAATATCATACATCTTAAATTCGAAAAGAAGAATCAGATTATTATTAATGATTTTATTTGCGCGCTCGGTCGCGAATCGTTATGTAATTCGATCTCGATGAAAAAATCGATAAGATATAAGAGGGGGTAAACGCGAAGGCGTGCAAGGTAACGGGGTAAACATCACATGTAACCGGGGTAGCTATTCATAATGTGGTTGAACGAAGGGGTTAAACGTGCTGGTGGTACCGAACCTATCGTTAACTTTCGAAAGATCACGTGCACAGGGATAACCAAATATTATGGGCGTACACGCGCCAAGAGAAACACTCGATACCTCAATGGCAGTATATGCGTTTTTTCTTGTCAATAATAACCCGTGACTGCCACTACCCTATCGATGACATACCGCATTATAAATGCTATAATTGAGTACAACGGGCAGCGCCGATCGTGGGATTTTTATTGAACATACAGGAGAGAGTTGTACGGGATAATTGCATCTTACTAAGTGAATTTCCGGTATCGCGAAACCTGCGATGCATTCGTTAGCACGTGAGACTTGTGGGAAAAATTTATCTAAGGAGAAAGCGAACGTATTGTTTCCCGAGAACACCATAAATATTGCAATATACGTTATTTCATATTCACTCACATTTTGGAACTATATAAACTGCAAAATAATACGTAAATAATTGCAATTTGTGACATAAAAACACATTTTTGCACATTTCTTTTCGATAGAATCCAGAAAAAAACAATATAGTGCACGTAAAAAACATCGTTCGATCATTATATCATAAAAAATTTATCGACCCCAATTTGTCATAGATTCGTCGATACATAGATCAGAAATATGAAGCCACATAACAATAATAATAAAAGAACAATTCAGAAGCGTGGACATATAACTATGCCATATCATGGAATGATAATAATGTGTCATTATCGTAATCGCTTTATCAAGAAGTGAATATCACGGGCTGTTGTTATAATATTATGCCGTCGTCCAGCTGTATCATCACTCCCACTTATTATCTTTCATCAGTGTTCATTTTCATTATCATTTATATTGCGCATTTAGATTACGAATAATATTGGAATTAATCATTGAAATTACGAAGGAACAAACGAAAAATACATAAATAAATAACTAATTTACTGAATATTATTTATTATTAATAAAGATGTAATTTCAATTGCCTTAATTACTCTTAATACAATCAACTGTTATACTGAATTGTATTCGCAAAGATTTCTCTCTATCGAACCATCCTTTTGCTACGACTCAACGATTACACGCACATACAGTCGTATAATACAGGAAGTAAAAAATCTATAGCTCTTAAGAGATCAATACATTCTTCGTCTTATTCTAATTCCATTAGCAAGGGGAACGACAAGGAAGTGCGCTAACTACCATATCAAATAAACGTACGTCATTAGGCACGAGTCGTTATCCATCTAATCCCGCGAACGTCTGTGACAGAAGAACGGGGTTAGAAAAATCGCTGCCGCGCCGCACAATGGCGCACTTTATCCGCGTAATTGACTCAATGGCCATTTACCAACGTGGAGACCCATCGCGGCTGTCGTCTTCATCGTCATTGGCCGATGTTACTGCGCGAACGACTGTGACTAGAAGAAACTTTCTTTAACCAGCTGACCCGCTCGGATTATCACAGCACAGAGGATTGCCACGCGGAGGTGGACTATAAGAGAAAAAAACGAAGGAGACGAAGGAGGTAAATAAAAAAATTCACAATGTGGACAATTCTGCACTGTAATGCTTTAAATTTATTTTTGAATTTATTTGTCGATTAAATAAAAAAGATCACGCACATTATGTGCGTAATTAATTAACAATGGTTACACACGTGATTAATTAGATATTATTAAAAAATTGAGCGGGGGGTAAAAAAAGGATGAAAAAAATTCTCTCATCGATGCATCAAACTCTAAAAACTCGGGAATATTCGGACCGATAATGGGCTGCAACTGCTGCGATTTCCCGATGATGAAAGAAGGCTGATTCGCGGAGAAAAAGAAAGTAGCGACACGACGCAGAGAAATGGGGAGGGAGAGATGTGTGCTGATGGGATGGAGGAAGAAATCAGAAATGTCGTGGATAAGAGAAGAGAGCAGAGAATGTACGTTATTATTTTCAAATAAATGAGTCACGATTCCGACGAGAGCCGCGGGGAAGAAGCGATTCACTTGGCAAGAACGACCGCGCGATAACCCGCTATCTATATACTTCTTATCTAGCCATACACGCCATCATACGACCGAGATTTACATACGAGGCGCGCATCGGCTAACGAGCGATTAATGAAATTCGATGCCTCAATCAATCAGCAGCGTCGCGCCTCCGAGATAACCGCGGCCAACATTCGCACATCCGGGAAGAAGCGCGAGGAACACGACCGCTGATTCCACGAACATTGTTACTCGATATAGGACTCGAACTCGAGGAAATAAATGTATTAGTACGTCGGCCACTGATTTACTCATTAATGCGTTTTCTATGGCGCCTTGTTGATTAGTACAGTCGGAGATGAAATCCCAACGGCAATTCTACACGGGAAAATATACAGCTCTCTTTAAATCTTTTTGTTCTCTTTTTGTTTTTTTGTTTTTTTTTTATTATTAATAATTCGAGAATTACGATAAAAAATTTGATACTTAACTACTGATCGTAATTAATTTTTAAAAAGAAACTATTAAAGGATAATTTCATCCAATCCATTAACTTAACAAAGGGCAACAAATTTATGCAACGATCCCTTTCATAAGCTTGCAATAGAAAATTATCCACCGTTTCTCTCTGATCCTTCGGCTTCGGCTTTCCTTTTCTTGTCTCATCCTTCACTTTCCTCGATCCGCAATGGGGAAGTAAAAAAAACCTGCTGTCTCGCGGGGGGAAACTCCTGTGTAGAAGTTTGGGAACTTTAAACTGGGGTTTATCGACTAATTTTGCCCGACCCAGGGACAGTACGGGTCTCAGGAGACAGACTTTGCACGATATCCCGTCCGATTGAACGGTCGACTAGTTTCGAACTCGGTAAACTCGAAGCGAGAGAATCGCGGCAAAGTTTCGATTTCGAGGTATGGCCGCGATGCACCGCCAATCGGGCGAGGAGAGGAGAATGAAGATTTCGTTAAAATCAACACGGAACCTCACTCAACCTCGGTCTCGCTCTCTCTATCCCCCCCCCCCCGGTAGAGAGATTTTAATCCGGTTAAAGTAGTTCGCGTTTCATTTCTGACATTATACGAAGGATATGGCAGTTATTAATTGGCCGACAATTCAATGCTTCTATTATCTGTTCTAAAAATGCAACGCTCGAAAGCAACTCTCACGCGCTTGTTTAATTATATTAATGAGTTACACGAGAAACCGAATCTCTCGCGAATCGACGCGAATTACGTTTATCGAAAACTGATAATGATCCGAAAGAATGGTGCAAAATTGAACAGTCGACATGTAAATTATCGCGCATCAGCGTAATTGTCGACGGTGATTGAAATACGTATATATGTAAATACGGCCGAGTCAATATATATATGTACGTGTATAAAAGCGCGTTGCGAGAGGGCATCGGCCGATTGCGAAACACGTACAGTGGTCCATTTTCATGAGAACGCGGCAATTTATTTCTTTCATTAAACGAAACTGCGTAGGATCGATAGTACGAAATCCGACATACGTACGTACACGTATGTATGCTTCCTCGCCTCTTTCTCTCAAACAGAAAACACATCGGTGGCGAGGCCACCGTTCTTTCCACTCCTGCTTACTACTTACGTACGAGCAGGCTCTAATCGAGACTCGAGACTCGAGACTCGCCTCGGCTATTATTACTGCACGCGCGATGTGCGTAACGCTCGCGCGCGTTCATCACGCACACACCCGAGCCGCGAAGTTGATTCTCGCAACGCAAACATAGCCTCCTCGTGTTCCTGTTGTGAAAGTCGACACGATCGCCTGCCTCAACTGCGTCGCGCGCGTCGCGTTGTCTTCTGTGCTTCATCGTAAACTCAAGTAGCGAAGAGTTACAACGCACGTTTACTGTTTTAAGAAACTCGATAGTGTCGTCATTATGCGACGATACGCATAAAATCGAGATAACAAGATCAATGTTTATAGCTGGAAATCGAAATGAAGAGGAAATTGTAAAATGGATAATTATGAAATAAGCGATCTATTGAAGGTCAGATGAATATAAGACTATAAGTTTTGTTTTGGAAATCTCGTAGGAGATTCGTGTATTTCGGACTGTATTTCGCATTTGCATGCAATTTCGTTGAAAGGCCGATAAAGGGGATTAACGAGTTCAACGGCGACGATGCAACGCGCAACTCTCCGTCTAGCTGCAAATACTGTCTCCCGTTTTCCCCATCGATTTGTTTTGACACTCGGTGACAATTTCAGACAAATCCATTAATCTATTGCGGCCTTTTGTGTTCCAGATAGGTCCCATTACATTATCAGTGTAAAGTAGAGGCGGCGCGCGGACTGCAGTCTGGGTTACAGCGAAGCCTCGGTCCAGCTGTTGGCGTCCAATTAGCCTCGCTTGATAAGCTCAACAATACTGGCATTATTGCAGAACAACCGGCCGTTTGTACGCGCTTCGTAATACCGTGTTACATTTTGACGTTTCCATCGGCCGCTCCCCTTTCGCCTTCGCGTTCGTTTATTGTTGCCCCATTTCGTTTACTTCCCCGCATACAGCTTTTTACAGAGTTGCCGCTCAGAGTTAAGCTTGCGATCCGATGCGCGTCCACGTTTTACTCCGCTAAGTCTCGGAGAGATTTCTTGGATTTCCACTCGCGTTCTTCTATGCATACAAGTCAAAATCAGTTGTATCGTAAAACGTGGTGAAATCGTGACGAGATGGTAATTTTGTATACACGTGCTAAGTGTTCTTTAGAACTGCGTAATAGCTGAGAAATTATATTTATACAATATCTTTTTTTTTTTTTTCATTTCAAATATTGCAAAAGATGGATCTAAGACGCCAAAAGTAAAGGAGAAACGTGCCCCAGATACATGGAGAAATGATGAAAATTATTCGAAATTAAAACTCAGTAAAATGCGTGAAAAATACGTGGAACGACGATAAAAATTATTTGTTTGAAATTAAAGCATCGGGAAACAGGAATAATTTCATCATTATTTGTCTTGATGGTAGAAAGAGCACTACTATTAAAACCAGCATTACGTGACTTTTTTTGGCATGTAATCTAATGTCTCTTCCGCATATTTTGACAATATACCACGCTCGTAGTCGTATATATCGGACTTTAGATTCGTAATGCGCCATGATAAAGGAAACTTGTCCGTGGCCTCATCCCCGCATCTACCCACGCATCCGCAACATCCTCTTGCGATATGAAAGCTATCAGTCATCCTGCAGAACGCGTTATCGTTGCACCGTGCGCGAAGCACTCGCAGGCCTCTGCTCTTCCTCTTTTTCTTTTTTTTTTTTTTTTTCACGCTCGCCCTCCGGCGTCCTCGCCCCGTCCTCTCCCTGCCCTCTGTCCGTGTCTCTGTCTTTCTCCCGTATTCGCCGTCGTATTACGTGTTACGCAGATACGAACCATTATTACTCTCAGGGTCGGACCGGCCGTCGAACTGACATATGTAAATCGCGCGTAATGCAATACGCATCCGCGCGTGAATCTGAAATAGACACGCATAATCAATCAGCGATCGATCACACCGCATTGACATCGTAGAACGATTCCGAATTTTCTATCATTAATTTATTCATCCATCTCCGAAATACGTGTTTTCGATAAAAGATATAATCAAAGATCGGAAAAAATTAAAGAAATTAACTATAATAAGAGAATTGATTGAATAATTCTGGAGACAATTTTGAAGAAAATGATCGCATTTCGGACAATTGAAAATTTATGATAAGGCACAGTGAGAGAAATTTTAAGTAACGTAAGTCGTGCTTAATCAGTTATTGATTCAAATAGTTTTTATTTCAAACAGAAAAATGCCTTTCACGAAAAGATTGAACCTTATTTTTAGAAAACATTTATTTTGTACTTTGCCAAATCAATATCTCCAGTAACAAAGTTGTTTTTACTATCGAACGAACTGTGCATTCACAGTATCGAATTCTCCAAAGCCTGAAAAAGTTTTGAGATCGGGGAAAAAGAAGTAATCGAGATCGCTCAGCCCAGTTATCGCTGAAAACCTGCGCGTTCTATTTCCGCGGAAATGTGAGCATCTCTCGATCCATAGATCCGGACGGCGCGTCCGACCCTGATCGAATTCTCGCTGCGCTACGCATATCAACGCGAGGTACACACAACTACACACATGCGTTTGCGCGCGCGCACTTGTGCGTGCGAGCGCGCATCCGCGAGCCAATGCGTGCACTCTCGTTATCATCTTACACACGCACGTGCGTGTAGTACGAGGCGTAGTACTACGCTCGCCGTCCTTTCCCCTCAACACCGAGCAACAGCCACCCTTTCCCCGCTGCAACCCGCTGCAGACCATCCAGTTTCCCTCCCGTTTGCCTCACCAGCCCGTTTGTCCACCGTGCTACACGTGGTCCCCACCCGTACGATCTGTTTTATCGTCGTCACGTGGTCTCCTCCTCCCTTTCACCTCTCCCCCTTCCCACTCGTCTGACGTCACGCGGTCACTAACCATATTATGTTCGCGGCACTGACCTTAGCCCGCCGCAAAGACTACTTTTACAACCTTTCTTCAATCTTCGACAAATACTCGGTTTTGGTTTTGCAAAACGGTAAACGGCGTTTACCGTTAAGCGCTACCGATTAAATGGCGGAAATAATAATCGATATACCGCCGCGATCGCCGGCGAACGGCTATCAAATATATCGTGTGATGCAAGATCGACGATTAAAATTGAGAAACTGAGAGCAAGTTAAATTCGTATATTTAAAAAAAAAAGTCTCGAATACTCCTGGATTCTATCGAGCGATATATTTTCATCTTCATCAGAAATTATAAATATTTTACACTTACAAATATCATTTAAATTATAGATAAATTATAGACTAAGATAGATGAAAAAAAAAAACATTTTTTTTCTGCATCTCAGAGATCTCAGAATCTTAATGCCAGGTATTTCAGTATGATACCTCCTTCCATTTTTATCCTAGTTTCTCAATTTTATACACGTTATTAAATCGAAATTATATTTAAGAGAGCGTACGAGACAACAAAGTAATTAATTCATTAAGTTGATGTTCAGAGAATCGTTACATTAACCCGACAGGTCGAAGACTAACCGTGTTAGTAAACAATTAATCAGCTAAATCGATATATATACTGCATGCTGCTAAACTTAACCAATTTGAAGTGTATCGATTGGACAAATTAATTAATTATTCCGAAAACTTTCGCGGAAAGGGCTTCACCTTAGGGCAGCAAGAACCGACTTGTCCTCGAGCGTTGCCAATGTTTCAAAGACATCCTTGCACGAACGGATTAAAGTGTCATTAGGCTCATTAAATTGTATTCAGTGTCGGATTCGGGGAAGACGTAATTCCATGTCTAACGACCATGAAGTGGCATTCTAGTCATCGAGCGACAGTGATTAAAGCGGCTTCTAATTACCTTTCCTTTTATTCCGCGAGCTCTGAACGAGACTTGAAAATGTCGCAACTTAATGTTTCATTATTTCATGGCATTTATGTAAGTGCGATTCCTGCGTGAGATTGAAACATCTATTCCTTCTGACGATGTCAAAGTGCATGCAACGTCTTACGACGACAGAAGGGAGTAGCAATCGCAGAAGAGGAGCACGACGACAAAAATTAGAGGGTAGCCAAGATGATCATAAAACGGAGGGTTTCGACGTCATAAATCTTTCGATGGCCATCGATAACCACACGTTAAATGAATTTATGCGGTCCGTATATACACGAGCGATAGCCATCGTCGCTATCATCGTCTATATTGCATCGCCTCACTACGTTCATCATCATAACCGAATAAATATAGGAAAGGAGAGTAATGAATTATGCATTTTATGGCTTATAAATTTGCCGGCGACGAAAAAATGATTTGATCAAAGACTACGACATTTATTAACATCGTATGTTTTTTTTTCCATACATTTTGTACAATAGATAACATATCGTGGAAAAAAAAAACAAGACGAAGCTCGAGATAACAATTTTACGTCTCTTTAGGGGAAAATAGCATATTTCATTTTGCATGTGGGAAAATTTATGCAGTCAATTACGCAGCTCGGCTGCACGTACAGTAAACCTCGCTACACCGTGCATCAATTTCATACGATATTTTGCCACAGGACGATCCGTGGCACTGTTGACGCGGTTATACTCCACTTCTCCCTCGTCTTATTCGCGCGCGCGATCGCAATATACTGACAAACCCGTTCTATAATAAAATAATAAAAGACCTTCTTCGCGCAGAAAGCAAAAGGACGATAAACATGCGGTACATGTACGCACACGCAGGCATCGCGTAGTATATGAGATTATACAGGGTGTGTTTCAAAGAATTACCATTTCTCTCGGATAACAGTCGGGGTTTCTGATAATTTCTCACTTAACATTATCCATAAATAGAAAATAAATTTTATAAGTGTCTTAAAGTGTACGTCACGCTTTAAATAAATTTTTATTTATTTTGTAAAATCGTTTAATTAAAAATTACAAATTTGACGTCATTTTTATTGTGACACCTGGACACACAGGAACTACTATTTGCAACTATTTTTCAAAAATAAGTTTCAATGCTGAGTTTATGTGAAGCTGTGCCTGATTAAAGACACAGCCAATTCAAACAATAAGCTAGAGAACTAGAAGCTGCTTACAAATTAGGAAATATCTTAATCATATTTTTAAACAGCAATCGGACACTTCTCCCTTTGTATCATGCGAGAATAATTTCTATCGACTCACCCTATATAAGACACGAGGTACGTGCATCAGTGGAAAAAGGACGAGTGTAGTTGGACGCAAGAGGCAGGAGAGAAAAAAAAACAGAGGAACTCTACAGTGAGTCAGAAGCAGCGAGCAAAAGAAAACCCGAAGAGGTAAAAAGGCAGAAGTAACGGCCGAGGGGTCGAAGCACACGTGGTTGAACACGTGTCCACGTGGAAAGAGCATACAGTGCGTGATAAGTTCGCTTCTACCATCTCGGACGATTCTCGCGTTCGATTAGTCTCACAATCAGTGCATCCTGATCATCGCGACAACTCTGAACGCTAAAGTTTTAATGATTACATGACCCAAGCTCATCCTGCATTTCAAATATCTCGTAGATCTTTTAGCGCTTGAATTAATGTGATATGAATATTAAGGGTAAGACATACGCTCGATTACTGCGATTAATAGTTAATACAAAAGAGAAAAGTAGAAATTTAATATAATTTAGTATAAAGAGCAATAGCAAGCAGTTAAATTGAAAATGTAGGAGTACGAACGATTACGAAACGAAGGACCGTCAGGATTTAAATTTTATAATCATTATAAAAAGACATCCTCCGATAAAATTAGTAGTAATTGCGCGAGACACGAAAAGACGGTCAACAATCTCGAAATTAATTTAATAAATAAAATTTGAGGATCTGCCATAATTCCATTAGTTAACGACCACGTATCCCACGGTCAATAACTATATCTCAGATTGACAGCGCGCATAATTATTACCGCAATTCTGTACTTAATATGGTTCATTAAGAGGGTATATCCATTAAAACTTGCGGCAGATCGGTCAGGAAATACGAATGTTCATCATCAATAATAAAAACGATGGAGGGGACGGTAAATGCGTGTGCAACGTAAGGTGCATTGGACACGCGATTATGCCCGC